GTTAATTCAAGTAACCAAGAGGTTATCTACTCCTAAATTTCTCAAAAAAAGATTATTGTTATGTTTTAACCCTTTTAACAAGTTTGCACCACCATTGTATTTGGTGGGCAACCTTGTGTTAGGATGTGAGAGGGACAGGCGCGGGTCATCGTTTAGACCATAATTGTAACAACGTTAAATGTCTTTGGGCAATTTCTCTAAGGGACTTGATCATTCAAACTGTTTGCTTTGCCCAAAGATGTTCAACATACAATATGGCCCATTTATTTGAAGGCAACAAGTGGAATACCCTAGGAGGTGCAAGTGTGATTTGTGTGTCCATTTTCATGCTTGTTTGTCTTGTATTAGGTCAAACTATTTTTTTTTTTATCGTTTTTTCGCATACAAACCCTAATTCTAGCATGTTATTATTTAGAAAGCAATAAAGTGCGAAATTAAAATTACTAAGCTATTACACAACCAAATATGGGAAGGGGGGTACAAATGTTCAAATGGGGATATTGACAAGAATTTAAATCTAAATTATTACAACAATTGGATATTTGCATGGTAAATAAATTGCATAATTTAAATGTAAATAAAATAAATATGTAAAATGTAAAAAAAGTGAAAGTTTTTTTATGTGTATGAGAAAATAGTTATGTAAAAGGAAAAAGAAATAAAAATGTATTTATTTTTAGTATTTTGAAACTTAGGGTAAGAAACCCTAATTTTATATAAAAAGTATTATTATTTAATTTAATTCTACTATTTATTTATTATGTACAAAAATAAAATAAAATGGGGTATTTTGTGAAAAAAGTATTTTTGTATCAAATATTGATAAAAATGAAGAAAATCAAGCATTTTATATTTTTTTATCTTAAATATATTAATAAACATGTATATATATATACTAAACCCTAAATGAGTATTATACAAAATAAATATTTATTTAATATTTTAATAAAATAAATAAAAGTATTTTTTTGTGTGAATATTTTCAGAAAGTAAAAATAAAAATAAAAATGTATTTACATTGTTTTCTATTTATTTTAATAATAGTATATATATATATATTTGTATATAAATAAAAGAAATGAACAAACAAATATGCCATAAATACAAAAAATGATGGAAAAAATATTTTAAAAATTTTAATGGCATGAGAAAAAATAAACAAAGTCAACCTAAAAAGAAAAAGTCAAAAATGTTGAAAAATAAACAAATGGGCTCAGGGGGGTGTAAACCAAAAAATGGGGTGTGAAAAGCAACACAAATCCAAGCCCAGCCCACTTCACTCCTTCTTCAACCTCCAGCACATGTTATTTGAAAAACGCGCGCCAATGTTCAGTCCCTTCTAACTCTTGATTCCTGGCTTTTTAGCAAAAACTCATAACACAAGAAATGTTCAGCATGAAGAGACGGTTCTAACCATATAAAGAACATGACCTATCTCTCCAAGATGAGGGAGAATTTCTCTCCCCCTCTTTTCTGACCTAATTTTTCTACCATTTTCAGAGCTAAAATTCTCTTCACTCAGACAAAAGAAATGAAAAGTAAAGCTATGTACATGTTCAGGGCTATGAGTAGGACTTTGTTTCTTCACAAACTTAAGACTAAATATGCCTAATAAGAGAGATACGAATTCAAACTCTTACCTGTGCAGTTGAACTTCTATATGGAGAATGAGAGACTTTCAGTGCAATGTAATGATTGGAAAAGCTTCCTTGAAGTCCAGGGATGCTTTTTCAATGCTCACTTTGTCTTGAAGCTTCTTGTACCAAGCTATAGAACTTCACCTGCAAGCTAAAGATGTGAAAATGGTGGAAGTGGTTAGAGCAACTACAGATCGTGCCTTAGCTTCTGGATAGCTTGCATATGTTGTAAGGAAGGTAGAGGAACAGGTTTGGACAGAAATGCTTGAAGGGATTGAGAGATTGCACTCAAACTGCAGGGGCACCCCTGTTTGTGCAGTTTGAGGATGATTCTGAGATGGAGGGTGTTTGAAAGGCAAATGGCTCGAGCAAAAGCTTCAATGTGGTCTATGGAATGTGTTTGATATCTTTTGTGCTGTGTGTCTTGACTGATATGAGAGATAGCATATGTTATGGACCTTTCTTCACACTTAAGCTATCAAAAGCAAATTGGTGTTCTAGGTCAGTATAGGACCCCCTAATGTGCTGCATCAACTCCTCTTGATCAGTGTGTTATGCCCATAATCTTGTGTTAACCAGATCTTCTTTGTACTTGTTGGATTACAAACTTGACATAAAGCTAAACTTTTCAAAAATGGAAATTCCACTTTATCTAGTTTAGGATTAAACCATTATGCAATGTTAGAACACAAAGAACATGACCTTAACACATTGAATATGCATTAAATTATTGAGTATGGATTGGTTCAAGGACCTGTAATTAAGCATAAAGCAAACTGAATTCAAATTGCAAGATTATGAACATGTTTTGGTTAAGAACAAAAAGTGAATTTTTGCCAACTTGTGAAATTCGAATCTCTCAAGTTATGAGGTTGTTTGATGAGTTCTTGGACATTTTGGAAAGCTTGGAATGTGTACTACAATCCATCTTTGAAATGCAATTTGAAATTCCAAGTGGAAGGGTATGAAAAGTGGCCTTGAAGTAGGGTAGAAAACCTTGTCAAAATAGGTCAAATTTCACTAAGTTAAAAGATGGTTTAGTGCCCTTATTCAAAAAATCATAACTTGAGATACAAGCTTCAAATGAGAAAACTTTGTGAATCAAAGTTGTAGATTTTGCAACAAGATACAACTTTCATGTTTTGACTTTTGTTTGAATCCAAATGGATCATGGTGAAAAGATGGGGCAAAGTTGGGAAACAATTAGGGTTTTTCATAACTTAGAAAAATTCTAAGTTATGAAAAATTCCATTTTCAAACCCTAATTTGCATTTTGTGATTTCTTGGTGAACAAGTTTCATGATTTGTAATGTTTTGATGAAAAATGAATCTTGACTCTTGATTTTGACCAAAAAGTCAAAGTTTGACTTTTCAGTATACAGTCAAAATTGATCAATTGACTGGGAAATTCAACTGTCAATCTTGTGTACTTGGGATCTTTTGAGCTTGATGAACATGTCAAGATAATTCCATGGGGTCCTTGAGTCCATATGTGAGCTTGGTTTGCCATTGGCTAGGTCAAACAGTCAAAAATTGCCTTTGTGCAGTCAAAACCCTAAAAATGACCATTTTGCCCTTTTGGTGATCTGATCAAATTTCTTGGGGAATTGTGATTCAAACTTGATCAAATGGTCCATGTGAGTTCATAATGTTGATGTGGACCAAATTTCATGAGGTTTGACTGTCAATTGGCCACAGTTGACTTTTTCCCCAATACAGCTGATTTCTAGGTCAACTGTCCAATTGACTGGGAAAAACTTGGAATCAAGACTTGAAACTTGGTATGGGTAAACTTGGGAGTCCAATATGAAGCATGAAAGTCATCTTAGGCATTTTAGGTCAAAACATCTTTAGGCAAACACAAACCCTAATTTGAGTCCACAGTGCCAGGAGAAGTCTTGAGCAGAGGAAACCCTAATTGGATCTTGATCTTCAAAGGTCTTGTGATGAGAAAATGTTGAGGAAATGGGAGGGCAAATTTTGGGGTACAACAACAACTAAAAAGAAAAGTATTTTTATTATTAGTTTTTTATGTAAAGAAAATTCTAAAAAAAAAACTAAGGAATTAATTCCTAAAAAAAACTAAGGAATTAATTCCTAAAAAAAACCATTATATTATTCTACTATTTTTTATTTGGTTTTATTAAATTAGTTTGTATCGTCTTGCAAAACTCATTAACTTTATTTAACAAGAATTGACAGAAGAAAATTAGAAAAATCTAAAAATTACGAACAGGGGGTGGAAAAACTGAAATCTGATGGTGTGATGAAGCAGGGTGCTAGGCCCATCAAATTAAGTCCAAGAGCTGTTTTTTTATTTTATTGACATCAGGCTCCAAAACACAATGGTATGGGCTTTAACGAAAATTTTTGTGTATGATCCAAGGGCTACCAAAAATGTGATGATGGGCCTGAGGATGAAAAAAAAATCGAACCACCCTTTAAACATCATCAATCCATTTTCAGCATAGTTATTATTTATTAATACCATAATTAAAACTAATCAACATCATTATGCTAATTAAAAACAAAATTAATTAAAGAGATATTGAAAGGAGGTGAAACGATACGTTTTAGAGGATATTAGGGTTCAAGATGTGACCATTGACCTTCCTAACAGAGATCTCCTCTTCCTCTCACACGCGACAGTCGGACTAGCTCTTCACCTTCTTCTACTCGCTCGTCGCTGGCCGCTGCTATAACCACATTGTCTCAATCTCTCCTTTGATTCTTCCTTCGTCTTGCTCAGCTCAATCTTCACTCTACTTCCGTAAATGGTGTCGTTCATAAATCAACAGCCTCTCCGACGATCTTCTTCTGCTTTCCCCATTGTCTCAATATTTTCGATTCAACCTTGCTTTTTTCTTCGGTCGATCTCTGGCGGGTTCAAGTACATCTTCCATGATCAGAATCAAACAACAACGCTGCCTCCGAGTCTAACATAGAAAACTCACTCTCTCTTTAACGATCATGCTATCCGCCTTCACTTCATCTAGGTTTGATTTTCTTGATGTGATTTCTTCTTCTTTCACCTCTTTCTTCGTTTGATTTCTGTTTCTGCATTTTCGTTGTTCTTCTTTTGGCTTTTCTAGTTGTTGCGTTTCTATCGCGCTAACACAATTGCTATGTTTCTGTAGTTGTTGCGAATTACATGAGGTACGATGCGTGAAGCCATTGTGCGCTATTGCAAGTTAAGGAATGATGTAACATTTTGAAACTGTCATGAAGTTGCGACGGTGATAAAGCAGATTGAAGAATTAATGATGGAAATTGCAGAGAACGATAAAGATGATGATGAAGAAGGTGAGAGAATTTCAGAGACTTGTGGAGAGTGAATCGTGACTGAAGTTTCAGTAGTGAGGGATGAATGGTGAAGTAGATGAATATTGGAGATTAGAGAGTGATCATGGAGAGAGGGTAGCAAAGAGAGTTTTTCTCCTTGTTATTTTCTGGTGAGTTTCTGTTATCAAAGCCGCGTTAAATCCCTCCCTCTCTTTTTCTATTTTCAATTTGTTATCCCTCCCTGTTGAATTTTTGTATGTTGTATATAAATGACTCGTGAATTCCTTTTTCTTCTCTTCTGAATTCTTTTGAGAAACTGGTTAGAAGTTTGTTGAATGAGTTAGAAACAGTTAGGGGTTCTGTTAGGGAATTTTCTTTTTGGCAGTTAGATAAGCTAACTGTTAGTTTTTTGCTAGGGGTTGTTATATGGTTATGACAGTTAGGAGTTTAGAGGATATTAGGGTGTTTGTTGGGAATTCTGTTTAGGGGGATATTAGTTACAGTTGTTATGAGATTTTCTGTTATGGATAGTTAGGTTTTTGTTAGAGGCTAAAGCGGTTAGGATATGGTTGGATGTTAGTTGGTTCAGTTATGCAGGGCTGATTATTGCTAGCAATTCTGTTTGGTTCTGTTATGTTTGGTTAGGACCTATTGGAAAATTTTCGGTTAGATGTGGTTAGGGGTTGAAATCAGTTAGGACTTGTTAGAATGGATTTTTTCTTGACAAATTCTCAATAATGTCGTACAGTGAATGCTTTATAATGTTAATTAGTGGATTATTTTCTTTTTTTTTATGTGCAGGTTTTATGTTATGTGCAGCGGAATCGGTTTATTGGTTATTGTGAATTGGACCTAGCTCAACGTCCCATGGTGCAAAGTTGCAAGGCAATGGTTTTGAAATATGAGGCCTAAGACAAGAAACTGGAGACGGAAAGATAGTATGGAGGATCATTGTTAAGGCAAGAAGCTTGAATTATGGACAAGAGGATAATGAGTTATGAAGGTCATTTAAGATGAAGAATTTAGATTATGTTTAGTTTAGGATTATGTTTGTTTTGATGTGATTTTACAGCCTTGATGTAAATGGTTTTTGAATTATTATTGAATCATGTATATGCTTTTGACAGAAATTTAAATTGGATGTGCTTTTATGGTGAAAGGCTAGAGTTAACAATATGAACTGGTTGTTTGTGGCGATGTTGCTCCCTACGACTGTTAACTCCGGGAAGTTGAGTGCGACTATAACCTGCTTCATAATGGTAGTAGAGAAGGGCAAGCGGTAGCGGCAGCTACCAGCATTTTATGTTTTGTTTTTATTCCATGATGAATTGGTGAATGGATGGATTGATGGGCTGTTTTGGAATGAGATGAAACAAGGCATCAATTTTATTAGGATGTAATTGAAATTTGAATGACCTTGCATGCCTCGAATGCAATATTAATTTGGAAATTCCAAATCTTCAATCTCCTATCTAAAATCAAGTCTTCTTCAAATAGCACTAAGAGCTCCCAATGCTTCTCTTCATTTGGAACTTGAATGAAACACATGATACCAAAACCTTTTTGTGGATAATTCACGAGATAAACCCCAAGATGACTAAAGAAAGACTTTCATTTGAAATTCAAAATCTTGCTCATGAATGAACATGATGTGCTTTCTTCTTCAAAGTGACTTGAATTCCAAGGAATCCACATGGATGGACTTTCCAAAATTAATACATTTGTATCTTAAAATATTGGTCCAATTTAACAAATTTGAACCACTTGAGCTCATGACTTCAAATAATCCCTTGAACGAATACTTTCACCATAATAAATCCAACACCAATTCAATTCACTCAATACCCATCAAACTTGTATAACAAGAAATGAGAGAACCAATGATGCCTTAATATCAGTGAATTCATAACATCATCCTTGTATCACGTCTTTACTTGATGATCAATAAAATTTTAGTGCTTTGAATCCTTAAGAACGAATGATAAGGCTTGAAGCATAGAATAACTAATGGATATCTAATGATCCTCAACCAAAAAAAACTCAAGCATGAGTATAGGTAAAATCTAATTCTTTGGATTTGGATACTCAATGAGGAAAAAGATAGCTTAAGCCAAAATCATGGTTCAAAACAAACTCAACTGCAACCTTGATGAGACACTAAGTACTATAAGTAGAAACCTAATGCACTTTGCTCTGGATGAATATTTGATGAGGAAAGAAATCCACAAATCCCGAACTACAAATCCATAATGCACTACTTGAAGAGGGACCAAAAGAATCAAACTTTATTGTATATATACCTCGAAATGCTGTGAAACCCTAATATTGCACAACCATCGAACATTGAACCTCAAGCGCTTTATTGAATGAAATGTATGCAATGTTAGTGACCTGATGGAGGTTATGTATATGATGATGCATAAGCCAGATGATCCTTGTTAAAGGGTAGGACAAATTTTGGGTATTACACATATTATAAACGATCTGGACCTGAGGCCCATCAATGTTTTTTTTTCTTGTCCTATCCCAGCAATTATTTTTGCAGTATTGTGGGCTTTTATGTTATCCTCTCTTCGCACATGGTAGAATTCCATCTTTGTGAAGTATCTGCTTTTCTTTAGGATGTGTTGACACATCATATGGATATGCAATCTTCCATCTTACATGTACTGGTGTGGGATATCTATAATGGTTTTATTATCTGATATCATTGCAACATTATGAATCTCGTGATGCATCGCGTGCCCCACTACAAGTTTCATCACCATAGCTTCAGATTCTCAAATTTTGCACCATACTATCTCCTCCAACGTGTCACCCTCATTGTTATTAATGACTTCTCCCAATCCCTAGAGTCCATGAATTTTGAGGCTGACATCTGTGTTAATCTGGATATCGCATCTGTGGCTTTTGAGGTAGGGTTTTTCCCTTTGTTATTCCTTTGTAGATTTGTACTTTTAGTTCTTATGATTATGTTCTGATTTGTACAGTTTTTTCATTTTCATCCCTTACTTTTGCCCGAACCCTTTTGGTTCGCCGGGAAGCCCTTATTTTTGTCTAGGCCAGTCGACCTAGCCGGTCTTTGATTATGCGTAGTATCTTTTCACTATATCTGCATTGACGGGGTGAGGAAGGTCGTCACCGTCCATGGTGGTTAGAATCATAGCTCCTCCTGAGAAAATGTTCTTAACCATAAATGGCCCTTCGTATGAGGGGGTCCATTTGCCCCTAGGATCACCTTGCGGTAGGATGATGCGTTTGATCACCATATCCCCGACTTGATACTCTTGTCGTCTGACTTTCTTGTTAAATTCCTTGATCATTCACTTTTGGTACGTCTGACCATGAAAAATAGCAGTAAGTCTCTTTTCATCGATTAAATTTAGCTGATCAAGCCAGGTTTGGATCCAGTCATCTTCTCTTAAACCTGCATCCTTCATAATCCGAAGAGAGGGTATCTGGACTTCAATGGGTAAGACTGCCTCCATGCCATATACCAAAGAGTATGGAGTTGCCCCTGTTGACGTCCGAGCCGAGGTGCGGTACCCATGAAGAGCGAATGGTAACATCTCGTGCCAGTCTTTGTATGTCACTATCATCTTCTGCACAATCTTTGTGATGTTCTTATTAGCTGCTTCAACAGCCCCATTCATCTTCGGCCGGTAAGAAGAAGAGTTGTGATGATGTATCTTAAACTGCTTGCAGAGCTCGGTGATCATTGTATTGTTGAGATTTGTACCATTCTCCGTAATGATCCTCTCTGGTACACCATATCGACAGATCAGATTGTGTCGGATAAACCGTGACACGACGTTCTTGGTTACTGTAGCAAAATAAGCTACTTCAACCCACTTCGTAAAATAATCAATTGCTACCAGGATGAAATGATGCCCGTTGGACGCAGTAGGTCTGATCTCGCCAATCATATCGATGCCCCACATTGCAAAAGGCCAAGGTGCTGTCAAAACATTCAGAGGAACTGGAGGTACATGAACCTTATCAGCATAGACTTGGAACTTATGACAGGTCCGAGAATGCTGATAACAATCGGCTTCCATAGTAGACCAATAGTATCCTGCCCTTAGGATCTTCTTTGCCATGGTATGTCCACTAGAATGAGTTCCGAAAGTACCTTCATGTAACTCTTCCATAATCCTTTCTGCTTTGTTCTTGTCCACACACCGCAGTAAGGTTGAGTCATGGTTACGCTTGTAAAGGATACCATTACTAATGAAGAACTTTGCCGCGAACCTCCTCAGAAACTTCTTATCCTTAACAGATGCACCCTCAGGGTATTCTTGAGCCTCAAGATATCTCTTTACCTCGTGAAACCAGGGTTTATCTGCTACCTCTTCAGTCTCGATGTCACAGCAATGTGAAGGTTCGTCCAACCTCTCAATGGTAATCTGGGGAGCTTCATTTTCCCATCTGACCTTGAACATAGAAGACATGGTAGCTAGCGCGTCCGCTAACTGGTTCTCTTCTCTGGGGAAATGTTCAAAGGTTATCTCCTCGAAGTGCGGAAGAAACGTCAGTACATACTCTTTGTAAGGAATAATATTTGGGTGCTTCGTATCCCACTCGCCTTTAATCTGACTGATCACTAGAGCGGAATCTCCGAACACACTCAAGAACTTAATCCTCAGGTCCATAGCAGCTCGAAGGCCCATGATGCACGCTTCATACTCCGCCATATTGTTGGTGCAGTTAAAACATAATCGGGCGGTGAACGGAGTATGACAGCCTTCAGCAGATATGATCACAGCGCCAATGCCATTACCCAATGCGTTTGAGGCTCCGTCAAAATACATAGACCATCAGGATCCTTCCTCAGGTCCTTCATTCGGTCCAGGTTCTTCACAGTTGGTCACCAACATGATGTTCTCATCCGGGAATTCGAAGTTCATGGACTAGTAATCATCCACGGCCTGATGCGCCAAATGATCTTCCAACACACTTCCCTTGATTGCTTTTTGGGTTGTGTATTAGATGTCATACTCAGTTAAGATCATCTGCCATCTTGCTATTCTTCCGGACAAGGCAGGCTTTTCGAAGATATACTTGATTGGATCCATCTTTGATATCAATAAGGTGGTGTGAGTCAGCATATACTGTCTCAGTCGGCGAGCAGCCCATGCCAAAGCACAACAAGTTTTCTCAAGCAACAAGTACCAAGTCTCGCAGTCGGTAAACTTTTTTCTAAGGTAGTAAATAGCATGATCTTTTCGGCCAGAATCTTCATGCTTCCCCAGCACGCAACCCATTGAATTGTCCAACACTGTCAAGTATAAGATCAAAGGTCTTCCTTCGACTGGAGGCATCAGAATTGGTGGCTCTTAGAGATATTCTTTGATCCTTTCAAAAGCGGCCTGACATTAATCATTCCACTTTACCACTTGACATTTCTTCAGCAGCTTGAAGATTGGCTCACAAGTAGCAGTCAGATGTGAAATGAATCAGGCAATGTAATTCAGGCGTCCTAAAAAGCCTATAACTTCGTTCTCTGTTCGGGGAGCTGGCATCTCCTGTATAGCCTTCACCTTTGCAGGATCCACCTGAATACCTTTATCACTTGTTTGGGTTTAACCTCAGCTTGTACATCTTCAACCTGTCAAATAGCTTCTGAAGATGGTCAAGGTGTTCTTCTTCAGTCTGGGACCTTGCAATCATGTCGTCAATATAAACCTCAATCTTATGGTGAATCATGTCGTGGAACAAAGCGACCATGGCGTGCTGATAAGTTGCCCCAGCATTCTTCAACCCGAAAGGCATCACCTTGTAATAGAAGGTACCCCACTGCGTAACGAAAGTTGTCTTTTCCATATCCTCGGGAGCCATCTTAATTCGATTGTAACCCGAAAAACCATCCATAAAGGAGAAGACCTTATGTTGTGTGGTGTTGTCAACCAGAA